ATGGGACTTCAAAGGCATCGCGCAAACGTTCTTTACGCGCTGCGGCAACTTTGATCTTGGGTCATTTGCATAGCGCTGCGTGCGCGTAGCTTTGCCGAGTGATCTCCTTCTCAATAATACCTCCATGGCCGGCTGGAGCTTGTTCTAGTCGAGACATCCGCATCTTCAATTTTGAAAATTTACCAAGATTGATTAATATGCATGAAGTTAGCCAATCACGTGATTTACAAAATCAGTCATGCAATTTGATGTGGGAAATTGCACGCATGAATCGTTTGCCCAGGCCCTAATTCGAAAAAAAAGAAATCGAGTATGGGACGCCAATTAAATTAGGTATGGCGCGCACTAAGTGCAATGAAGAGTGAGTAACCTAAAATTAGGGCCTGGAACCCAGGCTAGCTAGCCACATGCGATAGTTCCTGATTTGCACGAATTCCTCTTCTCGCGTTGCGGTCACGTAGAAACAACAAAGATGGCGCCGCCCTCGACCGGGCTCAACTATAACAGTTCTCCAAAGAAAGCAAATTTCCAGTGACATAGGCTTTCTGGAATAGACATTTTGAAATATAATATTTTACCATCAAAATGTACTAAAAACACAAAAGTTCGCATTATATTAGTTATCGAACACACATTTATTCATCAATTAAAATTTACAAAGAAAAAGTAAGATACACCATCATAATAATTACGTTAGAAATTGGTATCAATGGTTTGTCAGTGGGAAAAATGGCGCCCGGTTAAAACCCTTTTTGCAACGATGGCAATGGAATAGTATCACACGGTATCGTGACGTAACACTGTAGTACTCTATACGTTGTTTATGAATACAAATCAAAGTTTCAAAGTCGTTTTAAGAATACAGGCGTCAAAATCAATTCAAAGCACCTAAGCCCCACCATGGCTGGGACTGAGGTAAAAGAAAAATACGATTATGTCGCGTCCAGAAGCCCGGAAATAGCACTCTCATACTTAAAATTTGAATGAAATTTTCTTTTTTTTTTTCTTCAAATTTTGAAAATTCTAAAAAATTTAGGGGGGCCCGGGCCGGCTGGGCCCCGTGAATCCGCCACTCTCTATCTATATTTTATTTAACTGGGACCAGGTAATTGATAAACTATTTGATTGGTCTTTATTTTAATTGTGTTACATTATTTTGTTTTATAGAATTCATAATGAAATCAGCAAAAATTATGTGGAAACTGTGCCTGAGCATGTTAATCATATATTTGGTGTTTAAATATTTCCACATATATGTCACCGAGTCACCAATAGCATATTCAGTACCTGATAAATGCCAAAAGTAATTATTTGTTTAATTTTTTTTGATGGAGCAATTTCACAATGGAAATAATTATTTGTTTTGTACATAAAATTGGACCTAGCTCACACAATACACATATGCATTATTATACTAATCGTCATCACCATTATACCATCATAGTCATTCCTCCCCCTTAACACCATCACCACCATCACCGTATCACCATCATTGTGATCAGTATCATAATTAGCTTTCACCTGAAAGAAAGCTTGTGTTGAGTTGTAAACTAGTCTTTAAATTACTACCGTTTCCAGTGTTTTATGTACTATCATCAGACTAGACTGCTCATCTATTTTACTTTAGTATAAACTGAGTATGCTCTTCATACAAATCCGCAAGCATCAAAAAGAAACCCTAACCAGGGCTCGAACTGAAGTTTCTGCTTTATATCTGGACTTCCTAACATTAAATGTGTCTCACTGTGTTTGTTTTATATAAGGCTCCCGTCATCTATACATGCCAATGATGAAATAACGAATGAACAAAAACAAAATATAAGGTAAGGTGTTGTTCGCGAGACAAAGTAAAGGAACTCAGCTTTTAAGGCTCAAAATTCACAATTTATTTTCACTCAATTTCACAGGTTACAATTTTTTGATACTTCATGTAATGATTCACTAAATTCACTGGTATCGCTATTCACTTAATATTCAACTTTGTGTTGACTCCTCAAATTCTCAATTCTAACTTCACTTGTTAATTCTCTTTAATTCCGCTTGGTTTCTAATTTAATTCCACAATAATCCTCACTTAATTCTTGGTTTAATTCTCGGTTAATTTCGAGTTAGTTCTCGAGTTAATTCTCGTTAGTTCTCATTCATTTGGTTACTGGTTCACATTTTGTTACACATTTGTTACCTCCCATTTTCTAATATTAACCTATCACAGTGAAACTTTTCTCATCAGTGGTATTTAAAATTCTCAGTATATTTGATAATTAATTGACTATTTTTGGGGTTCAACTACCTTTCTTTAACCCCTGGTCATTACCTAACCACACATTAATTTATTGTTTAGAAATGTACATTCTTCCAGTCTAACTGGTGCCACTATTCTAAGTTTCACTTTAATCTTAACCACGTATTCCCCATGGAATCTTCCCATTTCCTCCTTTAATGGTTTACTTAATTTTTGTTTATATATTTCTCTTAATTATAAAATTCCTCCTGAACAGTGGTATTACACCAAAACGACTTGTTTGCTTAATTCTTATAGTGAGCATTTCAATATTTGAAAAGGGGCGGATTTAGGGGGGGGGGGCGGCCCGGCCCCGGCCCCCCTTTTGGGAGGTAAAAAAAGAAAAAAAAAAGGGAAAAAAGAGAAAAAGAAAAAAATGATGGCCAAGAATGCCTCAAATGTTATGTTCGGGCGTCTAGAACACAAAAATTTCGCGGGGGCATGCCCCCAGACCCCCTACGGCAGAGTTGTCTCAATCGGCCCAACTTTCGGTCCCCCTTCTGCCCCCCCCCCCTTTTGGACATTTCTGGATCCGCCCCTGATTTGAAAAGATTGAGGTATTTTTTATCACAGATTTTGTCAGACTGTATTCTTAACATTTCAGAAAGTCGGTGAAGGAATGTTTTCCTCATGACATGACGTTCCTTGTATACAACAATAACGTAAGTCCATCAAGTATGAATTTTAAGCAAGGATTTAGCATCACAGAATATATCTCAAGTTTACTTTCTTATACTGGAACTGCAGCAAATAGCATTAGTAAAATGAATTTTGAAAAAATGAACTTGCAGAGAGACTGTGCGATTATTGGCAACGGAGGAATACTAACAGGAAGCAACTGCGGAAAAAATATTAATAAACATGACTTTGTGATCCGCTCGAATCTCGCCCCGATCGAAAACTATGAGGAAGACGTCGGTGTAAAGGCGAACATCACTGTCCTGAACACCTCAATAATAAAACAAGTTACCAATACGATCAATCAGATAAATGGTTCTCAAGGAGATAAATTTCTCAGACGGATCCGATACTTGAATAATTCAATTCTGTGGTATAGTAAAGATACCCGAGTAAAATTCAAAACAAATAATAAATTACTGACTCTCATTAAGCTTCTAAAAGACAAATATAAGCTTGGAATCCGATTTGCTTATAGCTGGAAGAGCGTCGGACCACTGGTACAATGGTGAGTATGGTATAATTTAGATTGTACTACGTCTGCAGAAAATTATATAAAAACCACAACTTTAAATCAATATCAAATGACAAGTAATACTTTACTAAAAATATATTTTTTTTATTTTATTTTTAGTAATATTTTTATTTATAGTAATATTTATTATCTATAACACCACATTAAGATTAATTTAAACATTGAATACAATTTGTGGTAAGAGCTCGATTTCATAACATTTACTCTTTATACTTATCACATGGTCATTTTACCTGTATTAAGCAAATCAACGTCGCATCACATACATTCATACAATGAAACCATCATTATTTTTTTTCCAAATCATTTTCATTCAATAAAAAAATATATATATATACAGAAAAATATATAACTTTCAATGACAACAGACAAACATATAAAATAGTTGAATAAAAGGAAAATAAATGAATAATAAAAAAAAAAAGAAAAGAAAAAAATTCTCTAGGTTAGGCCTACATTCTTAAAATTAGATGAAAACACATAGAAAACAAGACAATCAAAACAAAAACCCAAAAAACCAAAATAAAAAAAAAAAAAAACAAACAAGGGTTCGTGAGCATTGCACAATTCTGGATAGCCCAAATTCACTCATTATTCTGAATGCGTTTCTGTCCAAATCTATCCCATTGGCAGTTTGTTCTTTGACAACCCTATTGAAGCAGCTAGTTTGATCTCATCTGATCGAAAAACTAAGAAAAATTTACCCTATCAAAAATGCATTGAGTTATTCCATATGAATCCAACACACTTTTTTGCCCGACCCCCTTCAAATCGCCCAATATTTTGCGTGTTGGGGGTTCTACCTGAGATAACCCCACAGTGAAATTTTTGGCTCCGCGCCAGCATTTTCTGATGAGTTAGAGCAATTTGAAATTTTCATGAGATTTGGCTAAAAAAAAACTCACTTTCTGACAAACAACTGCTGATATCTCTCTTGAAACTCAACGTATTGGAGGTACCGTTGGATAGAGAAGAAGATTCTCTTTCCAATGATATGCAACTCGATGATGTCCGGACTAGTGAGAATTATATAGGTCAAGTCACGTGACCTTGACCTTTGACCCAAAATATCACAAAAGTATATATCTCGATTTTTGAAAAATTCACACCTCAGTTAGGACACTTAGCCCACATGATGCCCCTAAAGTTTCATTG